ATAAAAAAGATTTTATATTCCATTTCAGATATTAAAACTTTTCTATTTTTTTAATTTTCACTCCATTGAGACTTCGCATTTTTGTTTTCATAATTGTTTTATTTGTCTGTTTGTCGAAATGAGCATTTTATAACACAGCGGGAAGGCAACTAGGACACAGTGGGGACAGTCAATAATTCAAGAGAAGCAGTCAGTTAGTGGAGCATCTATCCGCTCCCGTGATAGACCACTTTATAATTTGTAGCGACTCCCTCCCTACCGACCCTTATCAGTTCCCTGATATATAGTACCCCTGGGGCCCTACGCCTCCTCAACAACCTTCGCTTGTGGTTTAGTGGGATTTATTACGAGGGATATGTAATAAAAAAAAAAAAGTTGAAGCGTTTTAACCGCCTACATGTGTATCATTATTTTTTTATATTTCCTTCTTCTATTTAGTTGTTTTTTGTTCTGTACTTCCATCCTTGATTGCAATATATTTGCAAGGCTCGATTATTAAACTCAGTTTTATAGCAGTACTTAACAGTCAAAGTTCTACTGGGAATCTATATTCGCGCCTAGACATAGTATGTGCCTTAATACAGTGTGTTAGCCAACACTATTTGAATTTCTTCAATTAAATAAATTAATTTTTTTTCCACGAATCGGCCAGCAAGGACCACGCGAATATCATTTTCGTTTCCTCTTCACTCCCTCAGCCTTTCTCTTACTCCAATACTCTCTCATCCTCCTGGACTGTTCCTCCCGCTCTTCCTTATTCCATTTTCTTTCTCGTCTCTCCCTCCCACCTACAAGAACCCCAACCCCATTCAGTTTTTCTCTAAAGAGCTCTCTATCCAAGCAATCTTTATCCTTGATTTTTAGTCTGTCTAGTTCCTCGTTTATTTGTTTTACATATCCCCCTATACGTTTATAGCTGCAAAACTTTGTAAAACATTTTCTTGTTCAGTCTTTCACTATTCATCCTGACCATGTGCCCTAGAACCTCAGTCTTCTGGTCCTTACGACTTATTCCAAACCTACCAAATTTTTGTATATTTCTTTATTGGATTTTAGCCTGTATCCCTCTTGAGTTACCTTAGGTCCATGAATTCTCCTCAGAATCTTCCTCTCAATCTTCAGGATATTCTGTAGGCTCGGAAGGCTTACTGTTTCCATACCATATAATATTACAGGTCTTGCTACTGTACAGTAATGCCTTATTTTTGCATTTGAGGACAAGTTTTTGTTGTTGTAAACATTCCTGGTGGCGAAGCCCAGTCTTTCCAGTTTGGTTATTCTTCCTTCGATTGATGCCTTATCCGTTCCGTTGCTACATATAATCTCCCCTAGGGATTTAAAAATTTTAGTCACTTTTATTTTCCCATATTTTCTGTCCAATATTTTCTTGGTGAAGTTGGAATCTGTTGTCATAACTTCTGTTTTTTTATAAGAGATAAGTTCCGTTTTCTCGGATACTTCTTTCAGGGTGTTTAAATGTTTTATGGCTTCCTCTTCTGTCTCTGCTAGTATGGCAAATTAATTTTACGAATTAACCAAAAACATAATTCGGACAAAAAATTAAATTTGCGATCAGAAAATCGCTTTGAAATGAGGAAATTTTGTTGACGTCCTACTACAGGAAATATTTAATCTCAGCAGATGTCTTGGCAACTGTCTACGTAATCGTCCTTGTGGGCTGTAGGGACTCCTTTTGAGTTTAAAAATTTCTATTTATTGATTCATGTAGAATTTCGTAAAAATTTTATTATTTTTTTTTCGCACTGTCGAATATTGTTGTGAAGTTCAAGTCATTATATCTTATTTCATTTGCGACATAGAACGGTTCGTCAACTATTCTTTGTGACACTTTCGCAATGTTGGAGGTTTCAGCAGAACTCCACAGTTCTATACTGTAAGTCAAAATTTGTTTTAGTAAAACTTTACAAAGGGTTAATTTTTTAGTTAAAGATAATTTTGACTGTTTGTCAAGTAACGTGGATAAAAGATCATATTATCTGTTTAATTCCAATCGTTTCCGTCAAATGTGAGTTCTCCATGTTATTCTTTTGTCTAGATGAAAACCCAAGTATCTAACATCATCTGATGCTTAAATTTATTTTATGAATGAATATAATTAATGACAAGAGATAAAAAATTACGAAATGGGGAGAAATAATAGGAAGGTCACAGTCAGTGGGTCAGCGATTTCTACCGATTTTTTTTTTAGTGTTTCTGTATCAAGCATATTAAACATATGTCATGGAATTTGTTTCAATGGGGCCCAAGAGCCAAGAAAAAAAATTATATATTGTTACAAAAAAAATTATATATTTTTACAAAAAAACTACTATGCTATTTATTTATTTTTCCCTTTACTCAGTTATTATATACCAATCGATTTCTTTTTCAGTATAGAATAAGAAAAAGAATATTGCAGATAGTATTACATGAGATTTTTTGTTTCTCTCGTCGGCCAAAAACTTCCATTGAAGTCCTATACTGCCCCTATTGTTATATTGTAAAATAATTTAGATATGGCTGTAAATTATTATTATTTATTTGTTAAAATCCATTTTAGATATTAGAATGGTATCCCTATCTGGATCAGCAAGGCCTTGGAGGAAAGCGCTATTGGGTTTATTTACTACTTTATCCATGAATTTATCTTTTTTTTTTATTCATTTTAGAACAATGTGCAATGGATCCTCGATGGATATTAAATGTATTAAAATCTATCATAACTTACAAACAGAGGTGGGCAAATGCTACTCTGAGTACCGATTCCCAAGTATTTTACTCAAATCGAATCACTATTGGGAATTCAATCATTACTTCAGTTAATTGTTAGACGTCAACTGAAATAATAATTAAATTATTTTATTCTCAATAATGGCTAGTATTTGAGTAAAATACTTGGTCAGTACTCAGTATCATTTATAATCAATCATTTACATCTCTGGTTACAAATCATCAAATTTCACTTCCTGTAAAGTAAGCGATGATTTTTTTTTTTTTTTTATAAAAAACAAATTATGTTCGTTTTCAGTGTCCTTTAAAACTCTTAAATTTGATGTGGTTTTGTTTTTTAAATCAAAAAATATCCTTCTCTCTCCCCACCCCCACGCTGCTAAGTCGATCCGTCCAGTTTAGCAATACCTAGAATGAGATCAATATTGAAACAGTTTGTATAGATCGACATAAACAGTGTGGAAGTTAATATTTTTACAAGGAGAAATACAATATACATTTTTTTACATAAATATTCACAGGCGGATCTACGGGTGGGCTTTGGAGCTGAAGCCCCTCTCTCCCCAAAATGGTAAAATATAACCATGTTTTATGGAAAAAAATATTTAAAAATTATCTCTTAAAGTATTATTGTTCGTGTAATTACATTTAAAAGGACTTTAGGAATCGTTTAAACACCATTTCATATAGGTACTTAGTTTCTTTCTTTTTTTATGAAAAAAAAATTTCGGGCTGAAGCCCTCCCCCAAAATTAAATCCTGGATCCGCTAGTGTACATATTTAAAAGTTCATCAGGACAATGTTTATGAACAATGGTCCTCCCTCAGATGGCCGAATGGATTTTAGCGATTTGGTGAGGCTGCATGAGAAAGTTTCTGACGTTTCAGATTAATCTGGAACTTGGCTGTCTGTCGCTTCAGTAGGGTCAACCAGTAATCCAAACTCATGGATCCCAGACGATTCGATTGCTCGTTCATTCAGCTCCTCTCTAATCCCGTATCTCAATAACTTTCCTTGATATTTCTCATGAGTAAAGCGATCAATTTCTTTGAATATTTTTATCTCCTTTGAGCATGATTATAAGTTATTTCATTACAAACTGACCTGTAAATAACCATTTTTGAGGTGAAAGCTTCGGCATTTACTTAGATGAGGAGAGCAGGGGTTACGCATGGTTCACAATCACTTTGGTCATACTTGTTCATGAAACTCCGAAAACAGTCTTTCGGTTAAATCTAGATGCATTCGTCCTTCCATGAACAAGTGTGACCGAAGTGATTGTGAACCACGCGCAACCCATGCGGTCCTCATCTAAATAATTACCAAAACTTCTTTAGGTGTGCTTAGCATTTTATTTTGTGGATATTGAATGAGATCGAGCAGTCACCCAATGTAATACTCGTTCTGGTAAAGTTGCCTCTAATTGACTATAATTTTTGCATTTGGATTAAAATATCTCAGAAACTAAAATTCGGATTTGCATACTGTAACTAAGGGAAATTTTCAAATTTTTTTCTTCTTTGCAATGGAAATTAATTCAAATTTTTATCTTGATGAGACGCCGAGTTAGAGCGTCGGAAAGAAAAAAAAGCGCCAAAAAAAAAAAGTATATATATATATATATATATATATATATATATATATATATATTAAGGACTGTTTTGACCATTTGACGTAAAATATCTCAAAATTGAAATACTATGAAGAATTCAGAAACCAATTTGCAGTTGATGATATAGATATTTTTGTTTAATTGGCCGTAAAAATAATAAATAAGAAATGTGGTGTTTCGTTTCAATTTCCTATTGTGCTCGGTAGTGTTCCGAAAAATTACTGAATCCCGTTGCGAAAGTCTTATTTTTAAAAAAGTATCAATGATGCTTAGTTGTCTTAAACTGTTTGACGTCACATTGTAAACGAATTTATAATTATTTATACACAATCATAATTGTATAAATTATAAATGATATTACTTTGTGAATATAGAACAAAAATAGTTTATACACAATTTTAATTGTATTTATTGTAAATGTTACTACTTTGTGAATATAAAACAAAAAAAAATTATTTCATATTATTAATCCCGCTTTGTTGATGTTTTCACTTCTATCGTATAGCCTTCAGTTATGATATTGCCCCTCAATGAAACTTATGTGAACATTCTCTCGTTCAAAGCTATCAAATATATCATATTTGTTATAGTTTTTAATACTTTTTGTACCTTATAAAATGTGTGATATATTTTCTTATTGTGTTACCACTTTGTTTAGTTTGAGAAGAGGAATGGAAGTACAAGATCAGAAGTTGTACACGACGCGATTCAAGTTGCCAACATCGCTGATTTGGTAAGAATTTGAATTTCCAATGAATTTTAGTAATTTAGTTATGATTTCACGAGACATATTTATACAGCGATTTACAGCAGTCTAATATATCTTTAATATCTGTTTTATTTGGAGTAAAAGTTGATTTTTTTTAATGATCTGTGTTAACAGTACTTCCGTACTTTGAACACGAGGGTGTCCATCGTGTACATAGAGACTTGGCAAGGAAGCAACCAAGCCCTCATCGACAAGTCCGAAGACATCAGCAGGGCTTTGCTCAACTTCAACGACTACACTTCCAGAAAGTTGTACAGGGTCGAGAAGGATACTGCTCAACTCCTAACGTGAGTCACTCAAGTCACAAGTCCTAGCAACGGATAAGTAGGCCCATGGATCAAAATAGTTTTACCAACTTAAAATTATAATTAAGCATTACATCAATTTTTATAAGGAAATCCAAATCCAAATATTTGATCAATTTAAAAATGAAAGATCTAAATATCTCAAGTATAAGTTAATTTATGATGTTCCAACGTTTCACCTAATCCAAGTTTCCTATTTTCAGGGTTAAAACTGGGTGGGTGTTGCATATTGGCACCATTATAATGTTTTGAGAAAAAAATTCCCCGTAAATTCAGATCCTTATAGGAAAATTTATGATTAAAAAATTTCCTATTAACAATGGGTCGGAAATTAAGACGCTGCTGTTTCTAAAAACGTGGAATTGAAATGTCTCCGAAATTTTAAAAATAAATGTGTACCCTGCTCTAACATTCGCATAAATATTGAAAATCTTCATCCATGCTAGTAATTACATTTAAATAAATACATGATAGGTGTAATAAACAAATTCGTGCAATACTTACTATTAGTTGTTGTTTTTCTCATTCAGCAATACTGTATTTATCAATTTCCATATGAGATAGAAACCAAAATTGGCTTGAGATATTTGTAAATTAACATCGTAAGTATTAAACCTACAAAAAAAAATAACGATTACAGACCACAAGAAGACAGTTTTTTTCTTTTATTTATTTTATTATTTTACATTCGTAACTGCGCAGTAGCGCATACATCAAGTTTGATGTTAAATGATTAGTTTCTTTGACCTTTTCTTGATTATGGTCGTGATTTATTGAATGATTTATAGTTTATTGAGTTATTAGTGAAGAAGCAGATTTCGAGGCCATTTTTTGTAGTTCTTAACAATAAAAAATTTATAGCATTCAAATTGTTCTTTCATTTTGTACATTTTAAATTTTAGTTAATGGCATCTACTGACCAGATTTTTTAAGCAGATGGGTAATTGCTATTTTCGTAACTATGAAAAATACCCCAAGTGTATATATTTATTACTTCTTAACATTTTTTCCTCTCTAAATGACTTTTTATTTTGTTTTGGAATGAGTATTTTCTTTTTCTCTCATCCTTTTTTAATCAACTGTTTAATATAACCTTCTTCTAAGGCGCTTGTACAACTTTCCGTTTCCTTCATTATGTACTTGGATGGTTGGTGAGAGATCATTTTTTTTTTTTTTTTCCTTTCTACAAATATTTGATCTGTCAACAATTGACCAACACATTAGGACTCTTTACCAATAATTTCGTACTTTAGACGGGCAAACTAATAACAGATATGACTTCAGCTGACATGCCTATCAATACTAGGAGGAGACTAAAAAGGCGCTGGATGAGGAACCTCTTTTCTTAACATACCATTGGTAATGGATTCAAATTAGGGAAAATGTACTGCTGGATGCTATCCTTCCTCATGCCTGATATGTTAGTTTTATTACTTTTTATCAGACCATCTGCTGATTGACAACAGTTCATCTGCAAGTACAGATAAATATTTGGAGATAAAAAAAAAATATATATGACAAAAATTTAATTTAGTTTATATATATTACAAAAAAAAAATGGGTTAGGTATGATTCTATTTCATAACCATTTCAAGGAAACTTAACTACAATTTTTTTATTATTTGACTAGCACACAGGCGAATTTACGGGGAGGGGCTTTCGGGCTGAACCCCCCCCCCAAAAATGGTAAAATGTAACCATGTTTTATGGTAAAAAATTATGTCTTAAAGTATTACTGCTCGTTTAATTGCATTTAATAGGACTTCAAGAATCACTTAAACACCATTTCATATAGGTAGTTAGTATCTTTCTGTTTTTCCAAAGTAATTATCGTTACATATATATGAAAAAAAAAGTGTGTCGGGCTTCAGCCTTCCCAAAATTAAATCATGAATCCGCTAGTGGACTAGCATATACCCTAGAAATCTCCTGACAGCTGATGGAACAGGGAAAAGTTATCTCCTACAACTGAACTCTTACTCATGCCCAGGAAAACATCTTAAACTCACTCATAGAATAATTAAAAAGCAATAAAAGTACTTTTTCGTAAAGGAACAGTTGCTATTTTTAATGTGCAATGTAACTATTCAAAACCTTTGTTGATGTGAGGATTGAATATTCAATTCAGAAAATATTTATTCAATTAAAATGGATTAGGTAACCCCATGTAAAATTTTATACTTTGTTATTTTGAGCTTGGAAAGAAAGTTTTTAATCAAGGTGAAGAGGTGATGTAGTAATCCCTATCCTATACACATGGATTATTTTAAGAAGAATAATTTTGATTTAGTGGGCAAAGATATTTGTGGATTTCAGTTATATTTTAAGTCAATTGTGACTCTGTTCTTTTCTTTTTTTAAAAAAAACAATTATACTTTGTATCCATAGCCATTCAGTGTTACATTAAAAAAATGTTGAAAAGTAATTTTTAAAATTCGAAATTCCTGTTTCAGAGGTGTGATGTTCAAAGGAGGGGAAGCTGGAATGTCTGTCCCCGAAACAGTGTGCACAGACAAGTCAGTTGGCATCAGTGTAGATGTGAATGCATATGAGCTCCACCTCTTAGCTGGCACAATGGCCCACATGATTGGTCACAATATTGGAATGGGTCATGATGGTGGAAGTAAGATGATATTACCTTGTATTGTTGTTCTTACATATTTTATTATTTTTCTTTGACTGAATGGAAGTAATACGTTATTATTATTTCTTTAAGGAGAAGAATGTTTCTGCAGAGATTGGCATGGTTGCATTATGGCCCAATCGATTGTGGGTCTCGAAAACGTCCAACCATACAAATTTAGTGAATGTAGCCGAGTAGATTATAATAGTGCTCTTCGAACAGGTCACGGCCTATGCCTTCTCAATAAACCAAATCAGGTGAAGATAAATATAATACTTGATTAACCAAATAATGTAAAACTTATTTATATCTCATGAAAACAACTGAAGGGAATGCTGCAGTAATTAATTAGCTCTAATCTGCAAAACTAAAAAATTCAAGTCAAGTGCCTATTTGTGATATATTTATTCGTTTATTGTTTTCTTGGTAATCAGAAATCAAACTGGGTAATATGGAACCCATACTCTTCTTCTTACAGTAGAGGAAGAAGCTTTAACGATTGGAATTGCCTCCTTGCACCAATGCTCAAAATAAGACGTATGATTTTTGGAGAAAACAAATAGAGGGAACAAAATGCTGATAACTCTTTCATTATTTATACAAACGGTTATAAAAAACTTTTTTAAATACATAAAAATAATATATTATATTTTATTAGTAGTGTACCTAAACCATTTAGGACCCAAGAAGGATTTATTTTTGGAGCCCTTCAAAAAATTAAAATTAAAAAGCCGCCTTTTGAAGACCGATAAAAAAAAAAAAAAAAAGACTTATTTGAAATTTAAAAATTATTACTTCATGATATTTAATTATTTAAATTATCATGTTTATTCTTTCTAATGTTCAGTTAAATACTTAGCTAATTTATCAATATTATATAAAGCATTCTCTAAAATAAATTAATTGAATAAAAAATATATATTCTTCCATGTTCTTTTCTTTGACTGCTTGAAAATTGTTATTCTTTAGTTAAAGTGTAATAATACAATTAATTAAATAAATCCTAATAAAGATAAAATTATCACTAAAAACAAAATGTGATTCTGTGATAGTGATTTTTTGCATGGGTATGTATTTTGTGTGTGTGTGTACACGTGCGAGCATATATCCAGTGCCTTATCCATTTGGAGGGGCAATGATTTCATCTTACTCCCTAAAAAAAAATTAAATTTATTGCTCAATTTGTTTTATATTATGTAATATTCGAATTTTATTTCATTTGATATTTCTCTAAAACAGTTGATTTATTAATAGGCTAAAATTAATTATTTTAATACGTTTTGTATATTATTGCCCTAAGGCTGGCACTGCACATAACATATATTTTTACTATATATCCTTATTTTTTCACTCTTTTTCAATCAATAAAGAGGAAATCTAGAAGCTGCATCCCTTTTTTGTAACATTAAATCAAATGGAGGTGCTGTTATGTGTTAGAAAAATGTTAGAACTAATGGAGTTACTCAGTTTTTGCATGATTAGGAAAAATGATCTATATTAATGTGAAATCTGGAGGAAATGTAGAATGGCCAATGATGGCTTTCATATTGCATCAGACCCTTCAATTCTAATTACTTTTCCCTAATTATTAATAAATTAAATAAATGTTCAATAAAGTCCAATCTTTTAATTGTTAAATATGTACAACAGAGCATATTGAAATTATAATGATTTACTGCATGATAGAACATTGTCTTTAAGTTTTAACCATAAGATAATTTTTAATGCATATATGTTTATCAATCATTTATTTTAAAACTCAAATAAGAAGAAATTGGTGTCCAATTGCGTCCGGACAGTATTATTACAGAACAAATTAGCAGAACTAATTGGCTCGAGTAACATGTTGTGCGAGTTCCATTTTAGTCTTTGTCACCTCTTAAACTATTTTTTGGCATTTATTTTTACTCGAGCTAGAGTAGGATGGGCAACCTGCCTTCTTCCTCTAGTTATTGGCATATATGAAGGTACTAAACCCAATAAATAACAAAATCTTATGACTTGTTTTGACTTTATTTAGCTGGAGGTAAGGCGGTCCTGTGGCAATAGGGTCATCGAAGAAGGAGAAGATTGTGATTGTGGTCTAATACAAGAATGTCAAGAAAATGATCCATGCTGTGACCCCTACACCTGTAAGCTGAAAAAAGAATCTGAATGTGCAACCGGAGAATGCTGTGTTGAATGCAAGGTAAATGATGGATTCTAAATTCTTTTTACTCTAATTCAACCTGGTTATATGGTATTTAACTTAAACTTAGTATGAAATAATATAATATATCATGGGATAGTTTTTGAATTTTGTTTTCCATTTAATAATGTTACAATGTGAATGAATAAATTAAATAAATAGAAATAATTATTAGTCTTTAGAAAATCTAAGAATAAATAATCCTTGTGATGTAGTTTTTTTATACATGTTAAAAATTTTTAGTTAAAGCAAATGGGTGTTGAATGCCGGCCTGCTACAAATGAGTGCGATTTGCCAGAGCATTGTAATGGGGAAGATGGCCAATGCCCTCCTGATTTCCATAAGAAGAATGGTATATCATGTGATTCCGGCAAAGGTTACTGCTTCAATGGATTCTGTCCAACGTTAGACATTCAATGCAAACAAATTTGGGGATATAGTAAGTTTATTTTATTTTATTTTTATATGAATCAGAAACTTATTTAGGTATTGATTTATTTGATTTTATACAATTTATATTTAGTTATAATCATCTTTAATTATTGTACAGGTGCTAAAGCAGGTGAAGCTGAATGTTACAAGCAGTTCAATCCTAAAGGTTCCTTTAGTGGCCATTGTGGAACAGACAGTGATAAACAATATATAAAATGTGATAACGAGTAAGTATAAATATCTTATATATTAATATTGTTATTTAGACTTCAACACTTTGTCCATTAATTTGGTTGTTTACTGTAACTTTTAAAATTATTAATTTTATTACAGAATTACTGTTTTGTATCTCTAATACTAGTCCTAAATTGATAAAAATAATTAATAAAATAATTCTTCACTATCTCTATTGATCATTATCAATCTTTATTATTATTTGGGCAATTAGTTCTAACTTTTACCTTCACAAATAACATGTATAAATTTATATTAAAATATTTATTTATTTGTAATTTAAAAACTTAATGAACAATTTTATTTTCCAGAAACGCCCTCTGTGGATCCCTCCAGTGCCAGTTAGGAAGTGGCTACCCTGTCTCAGCTGGCGTTGACCAACTGTTCTCCAGAACTATTATTTCTATGAAAGGGGTAGAATATGAATGCAAGTATGTACCACTGTTTATAATTAATAAGTATTTAGTTGGTTTTTAAGTGAGGTTATTATTTCCATCTAAACCATTTATTTATTTTGGTTGCCTTCTGTCTAAACTATCTGGCTTAACCTCTAGTGTCAAGCTATTCTATGTGGTAGATTATAGTTAAAAAGATTTTAAAAAATATATATTAAACAGATCCTTGTTTTGTCGCTAATTAACTGGATTTTTTTTTTAATTTATTCAAAAAGTATTGAAATAAACTAAAGTTTTTAAGGAAATATATGCTCTTATCTCTTTTCATCTATTTAATTTTTATAACAACATTAGCAATGTTTCTAGCAGGTTGGTTCATTTTCAAGTTATGTGTAATGCAATTTACATAATTAAGAGTTAATCACAATTACATGGCTGAGGATCGGACATATCAGACTGACACACCTCTACCTCATAACAAAAGACCTAGGTGTCAAAAGTGTGACCAGATCTGTCACTATAAAGCATGTTTTGGAAGAGTGCCCATTTTACACTACAAGGTTGAAAGAACTTGGAATACCCCAAAATATATCAGCAACCTTCGGGAACTGGGTAGAAAACCTTAGTGAAGTTATGAAGTTTCCACACAATGAAATTCTTATAAAACATATATGACAAGTTTATAACTAATAATCATTTGCAGATTTTATTTAATTTTTTATTATCATTTATTTTTTATTTTAAAGGTTCATTTAGTTATTTATTTTAATGAATTTATTTATTGTATTACTATTATTTTATTTTTTTTTTATGTTTAGTTATTTTATCTCATTATTATTATTTTTAAGTTTATTTACTTATTAATTATATTTTTTTATTTATCTAGTTTTTTAGTTTTTTTTATTTATTTATTTTTATTTTGTAACTACCACCTATATAGTTAACAAGTAGTATTATTTAGTTGATTGGACACTGATGACCTGGATGTTTTGCGCTCAGACTTCAAAACAACTAATCAACCAATAATAATGCTTGTCATGTCATGTAATTATATTTATTTATATAACTATATGTTATTTGTAATCTATTTGTAATTTAATCTATACCTCATTATGTAGGGCAGTATGTTACTCTATCTTTTCCATTATTTATTGCTTAAATTAGACTGTGATACTTAGGATTACATGTCCCATATGATTTAAAATATAGAAGAATATAGAGGAATTGCGAAATCATTATTTTTATTTAATTTATCAATTATTAATATTTATGGTAATTTTTTTATGTAATAAGAACAACAAGCGGACCCCTAGAACAACCAGACCTTCCCGAAGCAGGCCTTGTTAGAGATGGTACCCCTTGTGGTGCTCAATTGGTAACTGATAGAACTAATATGATTTATCATTACTAAAAACATTTATTTATCCATTATTTTAATGATTTATTTCAGGTATGTGTGAATCAAACATGTACCAGCATTTTCCCATTTATAAGTTCAGTTAAGTGCCCAATGAACCATAACAGCCTTGAATGTTCTAAACATGGGGTAAATATAAATATTTTATTATGAATTAGACGTTGTATAATGATCTGAGCAAAATTAATTTTTTTAAATTTGCTATTTCAGACTTGCAATAATGTCAATAAGTGCCACTGTGAGCCAGGTTGGACAGGTCCGGACTGTTCTATTCAGGTCGAGATCATGAACACTCCAGTACCGGATGGGACTCAGTCGCCGGGCGAGAACAAGGAACCTTCCCTCGAGGGTCAAATGAAAAAGAAAGAGACACCATATGGTAAACTTATTTAGAATTATAACTACATTTAAACTTTTTAAAATGCTTATTGTTTAAAGTATTTCAAATAATATTATTGTTTAGTTAAATGTATCAGCATCATGAAATTATCGTGTCTATAGCTCTGTCAACCGAGAGTGATGTATTTACTGTATATGTGGAGAAAGGAAATGCAAACCTCCACTACTCATCCTCCTGCCTTTCTCTCCCTTTAACTCACATTCAACCCTAGTGTTCTGAGCACTGTGCCTGAACTAGGGAGAGACAAAAAACTCTTATCCCAAGTGGTATGATTTAGGGAGCAGTAAATTTTCAATGACATTACATTTTTAAGTTAAATAAAAAATACACGTTTCTCCTTCTTGATTGTTTTGATCTTGATCATTTCATAAAATGAGTTTATGTTTTAATATGTTTATATTTATTTGGAAATATATAACTTGATAAAAGTTAGCTAATTTTTGGAGGGAAAAGGCAAAACAAAAGGCTAACAAAATTAAGCTTATCACTTCTGGAAAAAAATCTTATTTCAAAACATGTCTGAGTTAATTGTTCTATTTTTTTTCATAATTGAAAATCAACAAAGAAAAAAAGGTATTTTTCTAATGTTGTGACAGGCACAGTTTCTGAGTAATTTTAACTTTTAAAGACTATCAGATGAATTGGATTCGTAGATCAATGAAACACATGATGTTGATGGGAAGGTGATGTTATTATAACTATTTTTATCTGTTACTATTTTTAAAACCGGGGGTTCTATGAGATTCAGTGAAGGAACCCTTCTAGGCAACTCTATTTGACAGAGTTCGGTATTAAATCTGCAGAAGAATTAAATAATATTGCAATTATTGTTATTTTCTTTGTTAAGTAAACTATCTCTGATCCAGCACCCTGCTGTAAGGTATGCTGGATAATCCGGCACAACTTTCAATAAATAAAAATATATATTAATTGCAAATCACCTAGTCAAAGTTTGTTTATATTTAGAAGAGCCGAGGGAAAAACGTTTTACTTGACAAAGCACCTTATCATACGTGATGGGGAGGCCAATTATTGAATGTAACAATTATCAATGTACTGGCTCCCAAAGTCATGGGTTAGTATGAAGATGATTCAAACATCTTTTGGAATCAAGCTGATTTTTTCCTTATAAAATTCTTTAAAGAATAAAGAAATGTTGTAGTGTCAATTTTGGTTTAACCTCTTAGTGATGATAAGTGAGTAGAACAGAGCAGCCTTGAGAATGGAACTAGTCAATACTTCTCTGTGCCCCTGACAAAATGCTCTTTATTACCTCTACAATCCACTTTAGCATTTTTATTTAGGGCATCGTTCCAAACTTCTTTACTTTTTTTTTACCTATGTAAATTACCTACCTCATAAAAGGCCACGAGATAGTTTGAAAGTAGATTTGATCACTGAGCACCCCATCGTTTAATGAGAAAGGGCATGACAGTCTCCTGGCTTATAAATGAGTCCACTGTAACTTAGCCACGGTCCCCTCTCGACTCATATATGAGTCCATCATTGCCTGGGCCCAATTCTCTCTTGACTTATCTATGCTTCCACCATCCTTAAAGGGTTAATTCACGCTTTCCCAAATATTTATCCTGTAATCCGGTATATTTCATAATGCAGCATGCCTTAAGTCCTCAACCTGCCGACTTATCCTATAAAAACAGCATGGTACTTGGATTGTCTTACATATGATTCCCAAGATCACTCAACCTGAAATATCACTCTTGGTTTATTGAACTATAAACCAATATACTTACTTATTCATGAATCCATTATTAAATAAAATATTCCATAAGTTTGATTAAAACTTTCAACAAATAAGTTGCTCAATTATTTCATAATGAGAAAAATATTTTTGTTTAATTCATAATATTTCATTTGGGTCAGGCGCCCTCTATTTTTCAAAAAAGTATTATTTTTTTACTAGATACAGAGAAAAATAATACTTTGTTTCTCGATTATTTTGTTATTTACTTTCTTAATCAAAATTATAAATTAATATACATAAAATACCTATTATAAGTTTTGGACAATAATAAGATGATTTTTTTCCCCTTTTTATGTTTCCCTTCCAAAATGTACCTGTATAACATATACATCTTTAACTAACTACTTAGAAATCATATGCATTGTTCAGATTATA